GCGGCGGAGGCGGCGGGGGTGCGGGTGGGGGTAGTGGTGGAGGCGGGTCGTCCGGTGCCGGTGCGGACGTGGGGACCCTGCCCGGTCCAGCTGCCCCGCTGCCTCCACAGTTGCAGCAGCCGCAGCAGCAGCAGTCGCCGCAGCCGCAGCCTTCGCAGCAGCCGCAGCAGCCGCCGCAGACGAGGCAGGCGAGTACTCTCCCACCTGGGTGGCCTGGAGCTGGTGGTGGTCGTGCGCGTGGTGGTGCACCGGGTGGTGGTTCTGGAGGCGGGCCCTGTCAGTACCAGATCCAGACCGGTCCTCGCCGCGGCTTCGTTTGCGGTAAGATCGGTCATTCTACTCCTCGCTGTTTTCGTCGCCTGGACGACCTGTTCCGCCAGCGCTTTGGCCCGGCGCCCGACCTCCCGGACTGGCACAGCTTGCTTAGGCGTAGCATTAGGATTTTTGACTTGGACATGGATGCCATTGTAGCGGCCTTGCATGTGATGTATGCTGATGACTCTAGTGTGCTTCCCTCTTATTACCCCGTGTTGCCTAGTGTAGCGGTGCCTAGCGTAGACTCCCCTGCTGCGTCAGGCGTAGGATCTCCTGCTTTGCTTAGCCTTGGTGCTTCCACCGCTTCACTGCTGCCTCGCGCGACTGCTGCGCTTTCCTTCACCTTGGACTCTGGCGCCTCCCGGTGTTTCTTCCGCGACTCCACGACGCTGACGCCGCTGCCTGTTCCCGCTGCAGTTACTCTTGCTGACCCCTCCGGTGGTCCCGTCGTTGCCCGCAGTTCCACCTCCCTTCCCTGTCCGGCGGTTCCTTCGGGCACTCTCACAGGTCTGCATATCCCCTCGTTCTCCAGGAACCTAGTTGGTGTCGGCTGCCTCCAGGACCTTGGCGTCACCACTACGTTCCCTGGTCACGAGCGGTATGCTGTCTGTACCGAGGCCGCCACTGGTGCCCCCCTTACCACTTTCCCCCGGGACCCGGTGTCCGGCCTGTTCACACTTGACACCGCGCCGTCCCCGGCTGGGTCTTCCCCCCGGTAGCTGCGTCCACCCAGGTTGCAGCCGCGTGCTCCTGTCGGTCCCTCACTCACCCGACTCTCCTTTGGCACCACCGCCTTGGTCACCCTGCACTCCCACGTCTGCGTCACATGTCCCAGCACGGTCTCGTCCTTGGTCTCCCCGGTTCGTTCCCCGAGTTTCCCTCCTCCCCCGCCCCACCGTGCACGCCTTGTGTCGAGGGCCGGCTCCGCCGTGCCCCTCACTCCTCCTCTTTTCCCCCTACCACCGCACCACTGCAGACTCTGCACATGGACGTCTGGGGCCCAGCCCCGGTCCATGGGCCGCGTCGCGAGCGCTTCTTCCTAGTGCTTGTCGACGACTTCACGCGCTACACCACCGTCTTCCCCCTGGAGCGGAAGGCCGACGTGCCTGACGTTCTCATCCCCTGGCTTGTCTCTGCTCGTGTCCACCGCGGTCTCCCTGCCTTGCGCCTTCACTCCGACCGGGGTGGCGAGTTTGCCTCAGGTGTCCTTGGTCGCTTCTGTCGTGCGGAGGGCATCACCCAGACGTTTACCCTGCCGGACTCCCCGCAGCAGAATGGGGTCGCTGAGCGACGCATCGGTTTGGTCATGGAGGTGGCTCGCACCTCCATGATCCACGCCGGTGCACCCCATTTTCTGTGGCCGTTCGCCGTGCGCTACGCCGCTCACCAGCTTAACCTGTGGCCGCACCCCCAGCGGCCGCAGGTTTCGCCGACCCTTCTGTGGACCGGGTCCCCTGGTGACGCGTCTGCGTTCCGCGTCTGGGGTTGCCTTGCTCACGTTCGTGCCTCTGGCACGGACAAGCTCACTGCCCGCACCCTCCCCTGCGTCTTCCTCGGTTTCCCCCTTGACGCGTCCGACTGGCACTTCTACCACCCGCCGTCTCACCGCTTCTTTCACTCTCGCGACGTCACCTTTGACGAGTCCGTCTCCTTCTACCGCCGCTTTCCCCACCGTGGTCCCCGGTTACTCCCCCCCTTTTCCTGGTTCCTCCCTCCCTGGTGGTCCCTGCCCCTCCCCCCCCCCCGCCCCCCCGTCCGGCCCCCTCTGGTGTGTCTTACGTCACCCCCCTCCCGTCGGTCGTCCCGGTCGACGAGTCTTCTGACTCTGGTAGTCCTCCGGCGCAGTCCTCGCCGTCTGTCCCTCCCCCGGTGTCTCCTCCTCCACCGCCTCCGCAGCCGCCGTCGCCGCAGCTGCTGCAGCCGTCGTCTCCACCGCCGCCGCCGTTGCAGCCGTCGTCTCCGCCGCCGCCGCCGTCGCAGCCGTCGCTGCAGCCGCCGCCGCCGCCGCCGCCGTCGTCGCTGCCGCTGTTTGTGGACTCTGGGGGTGTCCCTTCTGGGGGTGCAGGTGTGGAGGGTTCGGGAGGTAGCCGTCGCGCAGCTTGTGGCCCTGGTGTTGGTGTTGTGTCGCCGCAGCAGCAGTCCCCGCCTGTGTCCGCCCTCCGCCTGCTCGGCCTTCCGTCTCCTGACCCTGCGCCTGTTCCTCTCCTGCCGTCTCCCCCTCTTCCCGTCTACGGCCCCGTGTTCCCTCTGCCAGACTCGTCCCCGGCTCGTCTTCCCCCTCGTTCCCCTCCTGTGTCCCCTCCTCTGTCTCCTGACCCGACGCCGCCCTCACACGTCTGGTCTCGCCGCCCCTCTCGTGCTCGTCCTGTCTCACCTGTCCCGCGCTCTCACCCTATGTTGCTCCGTTCCCACGCGTCTCGACCTCCCCTCCTCCCGTCTCCTCCTCTGTCTTCTCTTGTCGTTGCGTCTCCTCCTCTGTCCGACTTCTTTCGTGCCGCTCGTCCTCTTGTTCCTCGGGTCCTTGCCTCTCTCGTTACCGACCCGTCTGTTCCCGTGTCGAGTCTTGACGCCCTCGTCGCTGCGGTCGCTGACTTCGCCTCTACCCGCCGCCTTGACTACGCCACCGCTCTGGTCTCTCACCCTGCCTGTCCTCCGTCTGTCGGGGGTGCTCCTGCCCTCGGCAGGGACGTCCTGGAGGACCGCCAGTTTGAGCTTGCTTTCCTGTCCGAGGCTGCTCCCCATCTCTGTTCCATGCTGCTAGTCCTTGAGGGTGACCCAGACGCTTTCGACATCCCGACCCCTCGTACTTACGCTGAGGCGGTTTCGGGACCCTGGGCCTCTCAGTGGATAGGTGCCATGGAGCAGGAGATGGCATCTTGGAGATCCACCGGCACCTTCGTCGACGCAGTTCCCCCACCTGGGGTGAATGTGGTCGATGGCCGTTGGCTCTTCAAGGTGAAGCGCCCTCCTGGAGAGCCGCCTGTGTTCAAGGCGTGCTACGTGGCTAGAGGCTTCAGTCAGCACGAGGGGGTGGACTTCTTTCAGACTTTCGCTCCTACCCCGAAGATGACTACTCTTCGGGTGCTGCTACACGTAGCGGCTCAGCGTGACTACGAGCTTCACTCCCTCGACTTCTCCACTGCCTTTCTTCAGGGCAGCCTTCACGAGCAGGTCTACCTGCGTCGCCCTCAGGGCTTTACTGGCACCTTCCCCCCTGGGACCCAGTGGCTTCTGCGGCGGCCAGTCTACGGCCTGCGCCAGGCGCCTCGTGAGTGGCACGACACTTTGCGTGCTACCCTTGCTGACCTGCAGTTCTTTCCGTCCTCTGCAGACCCCTCGCTCTTCGTTCGTGCTGGCTCGACTCCGTTCTACATCCTCGTCTACGTAGACGACCTGGTCTTTGCCACTGCTGACAGGGACGCACTGGCCTCCGTGAAGGCAGAGCTGCTGAAGAGACACACCTGCACTGACCTTGGAGAGCTGCGCCGTTACCTTGGCTTGCAGATCTCCAGGGACAGAGCCGCGCGCACCATCACCCTGACTCAGTCACACTTGGTGCGCCAGGTCCTTCAGAGGTTCGGCCTTCAGTTCTCCTCCGCACAGCCCACCCCTCTTCCTCTGGACCACAGACTCTCCGCTCCAGTTCCTGAGGAGTCGGTAGATCCCAGTGGTCCTTACGCTGAGCTAGTGGGTTGCCTCATGTACCTGATGACTTGCACTCGCCCAGATCTCGCATACCCTCTCAGCATCCTGGCTCGTTTCGTGGCCACAGGCAGGCACCGACCTCAGCACTGGTCTGCCGCTAAGAGGGTTTTGCGTTATCTTGCAAGTACATCGGGCATGGGGTTAGTGCTAGGCGGACGCAGGCCAGTGGTCCTTACTGGACACACAGACGCTTCTTGGGCAGACGACGCCGAGACGCTCAGGTCTTCCCAGGGCTACTGCTTTAGCCTTGGTTCAGGTGTTGTCTCGTGGAGAGCTACCCGCTCTTCGTCTGTTGCCCAGTCCAGCTGTGAGGCCGAGATCTACGCCGGTGCCATGGCGGCACAGGAGCTCCGCTGGCTGACCTTCTTGCTCACTGACTTAGGTGAGCGGCCTAGCTCTGCCCCGGTCCTGTACGCTGACAACAGGGCCATGATCCTCCTGTGTCAGGAGCCTCGACTCGAGGGCAGAGCGAAGCACATCCAGCTGCGGTACTTCCTCCTGCGTGAGCTACAGCAGCGTCGCCAGGCTCGCGTAGTACACTTAGCCTCCGGTGCCAACACAGCTGATATCTTTACGAAGGCGCTTGCGCCTAAAGATCATCAGCGGCACTGTGTACAGCTTGGTCTGGTTCCTGTAGTCTCTCACTTACTCGGGCCTTGACTCTGTACTGTCCTATATATCTGTGTGTACACTCAGACTGGACTTGTGTCCTCTTACAGTGGTTGGACTAGTAGTGCCGCCCTGTACTAGTTCTTGCCTTGCCTGTACTCCTTCTGACTGGTCTTTTAGACCCTTGTCTCAGAGGCTGGACTAGTAGTGCCACCCTGAGCTGCTTGTCTAGAACATTCCCCTATGCAGTCCAAGGGGTGTGTCAAACATGTTTAGTTATCATGCTTGTATAGACTGTATAGGGTCATCTTCTAGAGAGTACAACAGTTAGGTATATGTTTGTGTACTCTCTCTCTCTATTCATTAATTTCACTGTTTGATATACAACCCCAACAGGTACAGTACATGTTCTGGGTTTCTCACACTAGTCCATTCATTCTCTTTCTAACACTCCTAGCTCCTAAAACCTCGCACCCCTTTCATGGCGTCCTAGGTCCTAATTTAACAATATATTGTTATGTAGAAGTTATAGGCTAGATAGAGTATGTTCTTAGTGGGTACAACCCAAACGCTATATCTCCCCTGTTCTCCCTTCTATTCATTCTTTCTAGTCTTAACACCAACCACCCAACCCAATCCCCCCAACCCCGACCACCTGACCCCCGTCCCCCCGTCCACTTCTCTCTTGTCTCCCCCCCCCCCTCCCCCCCCTCCTCCCCATTCCCTTTTCTCCGACGGCCAGCTGAAGTTCAGGCTTCACCTGCCCTGAACTAAGAAAGAAGAGATCAATGAGGATCAAGCGTCTAATTTCTTTTCTTAAGCACAGCCTGCAGCACAGCAGCGCCCATAAAAACCCCAATGGCCGGCTGGAACAGCGGGTCCCACAGCTTCAGCCACGCCAGCAGCAGCCCGTCGTCATGCGAGATGGACCGCTGAAGCACGCCCGTCAAGAACCACACTAGAGCGATTGTGATCAAAAAGAAGTCCGCCACGAGGATCTTATCCACCACCTCCTTCCACGACACCCCTCCACTCTCCGCGCTCTTCCCGCCGCCGGGCCTCGTGCTGCCGCCGTCGGAGTCGTAGCCGCTCTCCTGCAGCGCGCGAAGCTCCTGAAAGCTGGCCTTGTCGAGCCGCTCCATGACCTGCTTACGTGTCAGCCGCTGCGCCTCCTCCCTCACCGTGTCCGCGTCGACCGCCTCAAAATCTGTTGCTGCCGCCGAGTCGGCTTCAATCTCGCGGCGCCATAGCTCCCTCGCGTCGCCTTTCGGGTCTGCTCGCACCACTACAAGCCTGATGCTTCGTCGATTGGGCGGCGCGACTCTATTGGTTGACACGAGGAGCGACGGTGAACTGGGCGGTGGATTCCCACTTCTAAGCGGCGCAGCAAAGCCTTGTGACGTGCCGTCTAGGAGAACAGTCCTCGCCACGACCCCGGAACAACAAGTGGATGCCATGCTCTACCAGTAACCGACGGACGTGCAGCAAAAGAGCGGGCTTTCGCAAAAAGCAAACTGCTCTCCCTGTAAGCGCGGACTGCTGGACTGCGGACTGACAAGGAACAAGCCACGCTTGCGAAGACAACAGAATAAGGCCCAAGATAGGAGCAATAAGATATTACTAGACCGCCCATCCAATCTGGGCCGACACGACCATATGGAAATTGTTCAGCATCCTCTATTATGGCCGGCAGTGGAGAGGGGAGGGGGAAAGGTGAATGTGGCTTCTGCCATTTCCCTCACGGGCATGAGATGGGAAGCCCACTGGGAATGGATGTGAAGGGGAATCCATCTTTGGGGCCGCGCCAATCAAAACGGGCCACGACAGAACATTCGAAAGAACACCCAACACCAGATAGTCACTATGAACCTGTACGAACTGAGTAAAATGTTGAAGAATAAAACCAATTTCTTACAAACATGGCAAATTGGCATATAAAAACCACATGCCACCTCCTCGTACCCTTCAAATGCACCTCCCCTAAATTCGTCAAAGCATACTGCACGTTCATGTGCGAGGAAACGTCCCCCCCCCCTCCTCCCCCCCCCCCCCCCCCCACATACGGATGCTATGATTAGAGAATATTGCAGAACCTACCATTCCTCTTTGATCTCAAAGGAGTACGAAAATGTCAAGTAAACTTTGCCATCATCATCAGTGAACTGTAGAAGGGGAGGAAAAAACAAGCAAGTCGGATCAGAACTCCATACGATGGAAAACACAATAGTACCATACAAGACACTCCTTTCTTTCGAAACTCAGGGGTGAGGCAAGTTGAGGCAGTCCAGACACGAATCTGACAGCGATTTGAGCTGCAACCTTCCAAATTCATTCAGAACACGAAACCCTCTTTACAAGGAAAAAACTTCAATTCCGTTTCTGAGCGATCTTATGGTGGGGCCAAGTCCCAACATGAAACAAGAATCCAAGAACGTGGGGAATCATTGTGTTGTCTTGCACCATGGTGAAATATAATGGGGAGTGAGGGAGGACGGGTAGGGCCATCCACACGCTGCCCTCATGATGAGAATGTTTCTACTTTAAAATTAGGCAAAGCAAAACGTTTCACACGAATAATCACCCCATACGTGTTAAAGAGATGTTACAAAGATGGCACATGCACCACAGGATGGACAGGTAGTCACACCTTTGTTTCTGCCGTATATTTGCCACGAACGTCCTCTCCATCAGGTGTTGTCTCCTCTTCCGTCACATACACATACGGCTTTGCTTGTGGCGCATATGCTCCAAGCATCACCTTAGAAGTATCCACTGCACCAATGTTGAAGGCACAACATGAAGTCAAACGGAGTGAATGGGAAGGGAATGGGAGGGGGAAAGACTTGTTAAAAAATATCGAAGGACGTAACCCATGTTGCTGGAATGCGAACGCTGGAAATGGAACTAATCTCCCCTTCGCCCATCAAGGCTTGCATTGTTCACTTCCAACCCCATCTTAGTTCATTAGCCAAAGTATTCGGTTTCTGCGCTGATGTGATTTCCCTCATCCAGTGATGTGAATGTCTGCCATCTGGTCGTCATGCCGCCGCAATGCCAATACACAACGTCTACCCAAAGCATCCCAGCTCTCAGAGAGCGCAGCGCGCGCACCTTGGACGCCGTCTTTAAACACGGTGTTGACATACGTGAGGCCCAGCACCACGTCGTTGGCCACCGCGAACTCGAACTGCAGCCGGTACCTGCACCGCTCCTTCAGCTCGAAGCTCGCCGGCAGCGCCACTGCCTCGCCGTCCTTGGGCAGCGGCAGCGCGATGGCGTCCCGCTCCTCCACCACCAGCCGCACCGCCGAAAACTCGACCGCTGAGTCTCCTCGCTTGCCTGGCACGAAAAGAAAAACGTTTTGCGAGATAAATTCACTGGACTATGAAAAGCCGCAGCGAGAACAGGGAAATGCGAAGACTTTGCGACCTTTATCGTCGAGCGATAATTCGCCTAGTAGGCTCTCTTTCCACCTCCGTAAGCTCTCGTCATCCTGCGATCAAGAACCGAACCGTCAATCAGTCGTCACGGAGTAAGTTCGGCGAAGCAGATGAGTAGAAAGGTGCTACTGTGAGAGAACGGAAGAACGACGGTACGTAGACGAATGACCAAACGAACCTTGTCCTTTTCTAGCTGGTCTGTTAGTGGAACGTGCTTGGATGGAATATACTCAGGGATGTGTCCTGCACTGCTGCTGTCAGCGCCGCTATTTTCGGCCATGGCTTCTCTCTAAAATGCTGCGGTCGCTTGATAGCCTCACAGCTAAGCTGCGAATTCTAAGGGCTGGTTTGAAGCTGTCTGCAGGTTCCACAGCGACAAGCTTAGGGCGACTTAGTACTGTAGCACAGAGAGAGTGATTGGTGGGTAAAGCGGTGGTGATATGGGGGAAGTGCCTACAAGGAATCTAACGGCTGTAACGACGTTACACTCAGATTCGTCACACCGTCGGTTCATGTGTCAATTCGCACCAAGCTCAACCACCACCATGCCACAACCACCATAATCTCGATGTTCTGTAGGCTAGACTCTACAGTTTCGGTACAGTGTTTCGAGTAAGTAGAACTAATATCGATCTTTTCAATACCGCCTCCGAGCCAAAATGACGAACCCGAATTCCCCGTGTAATACCGCACTGCTATCTGCTGTACCACGCAAACCGAACAGCGGGCGTGTAACACAAGCCTTGCCCTGGAAATCATCTCAGCCAGTTTCAATCGAGAGGCAACTTGGCCAACAGCTCTAGGAATCTCGTGCTGTCATCGGTCGAGCTTGTTATCATCCACCCGCTACGGCGTGCATGGCCGTGGCGGCGTCTGTTTGCCCGATCTGCCTTGACGAACCCCACGACGAGGCGTTTCTCGAGCCCTGCTTCCGTAGGTGCCATGCCAGTCTCCTTAACGAACCAGCGCCCAGCTTCACTAGGCCTTGACAGCACGCCATTGCCCTTGACAGCACGCCATTGCCCTTGAGTACCACTTTCGCTTGATCTTTCACTTTGGCTCTGAAACCTCAACACTGAGTTCTGACCAATTTCCCCTTTTCTCTCCTCCTCCTTCTGTCCTCGCTTCCCGCTTCCCCCGTGCCGCCGTTTACATCGACGGTCGATTCTCGGGTATTTGGTGGTCGGATCCTATCCCCAACGAAACGTTGAGGGAGTAACCGGCTTCTTCGAACATCGTCGGTCCTTGGCTGCGATCAGACAGCTTCTGCTTCGCGTGCGTCGTGCGATGGCTCGAGTCCTGCACCCGCCACGCCATCGTCCCCCCGCACCTCCGAGACCAGCAGCAGCAGCAGCAGCAGGAACGGCAACAACAACAACCGCCCGATGTTTATCAGGCCGACGCTCGTGTTGCCGCGTCGCCAGATTCAGATCGGACGGCTCTCATAGTATATGCTGACGTCACAGCTGCTGAAGCGGGAGGTGACGCGTCGTGGCATTATGACGTCAGCAATGAGCGACCTCGGAGACCTGCTGTGTGTCCTGTCTGCAAGGTAGGACGCAGTGGGATAGACTGAGGTAGAGTGAGGTGGAGAGCATCACATGTCAGGGGCTATCAAGTGCAGAGGAGCAGCGCATGCACAGTAGCATGCACAGTAGCATACACAGTAGCATGCGCGTATCCGCGCTCTCCGGGGTCGGTCGACTCTCCAGCGCGTGTGATGGCCGCGCTTGCTCCCACAGCCATTGCTTCAGTTGTGATGGCCGTTGGGCGAGTTTTCTCAGCCGTCTATCTATCGTTTTGGCCGCTCCGTTTACCCACAGCTGGCGGGGTTTCCATTGCTATCGGTAGAGTCGTCATGATCAGCATCTTAGCTCCCCTCCTTTCTTCGAAGCTTCATGTAGGCACTAGGAGCCTTGGCGGCTTTCCATCTCCCCGTTTCCTTGCATGCACTCGCTGCCCTTAACGCGTGCAGTGCAGTCATGTCTCTCCAATGCTCACTCCTCTCTCTCTCCCCCGCCTCCCTCGCTTCAGCCTCTCCTCTGCTGACTCTGATCGTTTCAACCAAGCCCCTCATCCAATCCTCCTTCCCTTTTTCCCCTCCCCCTCAACCCCCCCCATCATCCCATGCAGACCCCTCCTCTCTCCATCGTCCATCACGTCAATCTGGCTGCTGCCGACTTCGACCAGCTGCCCATTCTCCCCACACCTGCTTCTCCAGGGGGTGCCCGTGATGCTGCTGCAGGGGCTGCTGCCACGGGTGATGCTGAGGAACGACGTGGCACGGACGTCTACGGGAACAGGTATGGAGGCGCAGTTTCACTGAATAAGGCAACTGCGAGTTTCCTCTTTGATTTGCTTCTAATCTCGCCAACCCCCTCCCCCCAACCATCTCTCTCCTCCCAACCCCAGCGTGTTTGTCCCCTCTCAAGAGCATTGCAAACGGAGGCGCCTCTACACCAAACAACCACCATCATCATCCCCACCACTGCTGCCAGCAACACCTGAGGACGCACCTGGGGCAGCACTGGAGGCAGCACCTGGTGCAGCGAGCGCCAGAGTCAATGCAGGGGATGGGTCCAATGGCTGGCGGCAGCAGCGGGGGCAGCACAAGGGAGCCAAGGGTGGCGGGGGGGGGGGGGTGGGTCGAGTGGCAGGAGTGGTGGTGAAGGGCGGGTGGCAGTGAGTGAGCCGACAGAGAGTGTGGTGCGGGCATGGATGACCCTTGAGCTGCAGGCACTCATGAAGGTGAGAGTGTGCATCGTTGGCCTTGCTTAGGTGTGTGCTCACAGGTGTGCTTTGCGCATATTTATGTGTGAGTGGATTCCCGGTGAACCATGTTTCAGGGACGGTGCGTGTCTGCTGTGTGCGCACCTGCCCGTGTTCATGGGTTTTGTTATGCTTATTTGTGCACACAAGCATGGCCTTGGGGGAAGGGTCTGTGCACACGCAATCAGCCACAGACATGCATGGGAATGCATGACATCCTTGCCCAAGCCTGCGCCCCTGATTCACGTCCCTTGTGTCTGCTTTACTGCATGTTGCGTGTATCTGTGTGTTTGCATGTGTTTGCATGTGTGTATGTGTATGTGTGTATGTGTGCATGTGTGGATGCATGCATTGTGCGCGTGTGTGTGTGCATGTGCTGCATGTAGTGCAGGTACAGGATGTGAGTCTAGTGGTGGATCATCTGCTGGCAGTCTTCCAGCACCCACCTGCCATGCAACCTCTACCAACACAACCGCTCACAACACAACTGTCTGCTGCACCGCCCCATGCGCCCACACCCACGCCTGTACCACCACCACCTTCTACTTCCCGAATCACAGCCTCAAGCTGCCTGGCTTTGAGACCCCTTCCAGCCACCACCAGGATCACCAGGGCCACTGGTGGCTCTCCAAGCCCCTCCTGTTCTGCCCCCCGATCTGCAGCGCACCCAGCTCTCACCCCCCAACCCCCGGTCATCGCCCGGCCCCAAGTGGTAGTGCACCTGTCTGCGCTGGCAGAGGCTGCTCGCCCCTTCCTGTTCGACCGTGCCTTTGCCTTCGCCGTCCGGCTCTTCTCCTTCGCCCGACCCCAAGCTGCTGCTGCTGCTGGGGGGTTGCAACACGTGGCAGGGGCAGAGGGAGAATCAAGGGGGACAGGAAATCTCAATGCGATAGTAGAACGAGAAGGAGGTGCAGGAAAGAGAGGATCAGCAAGTGTAGATTTGGAAAGGAAGGTGGAAAATTCTCTGAAAGGAGATGCCGTAGAGGGTCTTGGAAGTATCAAGCAGCAAGCAGGTGGAGGACGACGGGGACAAGGAGTGGAGCAAGACTGGGAAGAGAGAGGGGAGCATGAGGGAGGAGAGGGGCAAGAAGGGCGGGGGGCAGGCGCCCGGGGAAGCAGCAGATGGAGGGAGCAGAGCAAAGTGGGAAAAGAGAGGTGGCAGAGGGTAGTGGTGGAAGTGAGATCATCTGACGATGTCTATGGGGAGTTTGAGGGCACTGAGGATGATGATGATGATGGTGATGATGGGGGCGATGACGCAATGAACTAGATTGCGCCATACAGGGAGGTTTTGTGCTATGGTGCTGTACCCTCTATGAGCTACACCTATGTAGCCTATAACATATACCTACAAATATATGTTGACACACCCCCTAGGCTAGACAAGGGGCAGTGCCTGGCAAGAGACTCGCAACTCAGGGTGGCACTACTAGTCCATGTTAAATTATATATTTTTTTATATATAATTGTAGGCTTGGTAGGCGTTACTGGAATCTACTATAGAGGGTACAACTCCCTCCTTGTATCACTCTTCTAATCTCACTCTCTTGTCTCTCGACATTTTCTCCTTCCTAAACCTCACGCCATTCCATGGCTACTCTGTCAAATGTAACTTAGGTCGTTACTGTAGACTATACTGGATAGTGCCTTAGAGGGTACAACACCCTAGTCTATATATCATTGTACACACACATTCTAGTTCAATCATTCTCTTTCTGATATGGTATCATAGTAGGTTAGATCCCCCAATAGCCCGCTCACGCTTCCGCCCCTACGTTCCTAGCCGGCCCCCTGGCCGTCGCGCTCGTCCCTAGCCGGCCCCCCTGGCCGTTCGCGCCTGTCCCTAGCCGGCCCCCTGGCCGTTCGCGCCCGTCCCTAGCCGGCCCCCTGGCCGTTCGCGCCCGTCCCTAGCCGGCCCCCTGGCCGTTCGCGCTCGTCCCTAGCCGGCCCCCTGGTCGTTCGTGCCTGTCCCTAGCCGGCCCCCTGGCCGTCGCGCTCATCCCTAGCTGGCCCCCTGGCCGTCGCGCCCGCTCCTAGCCGGCCCCCTGACCGTCGCGATCGCTCCTAGCCGGCCCCTCTGACCGTCGCGCCCGTCCCTAGCCGACCCCTGACCGTTCGCGCCCGCCCCTAGCTGGCCCCCTGGCTGTCGCGCTCGCCCTTAGCCGGCGCCCTAGCCGTCGCGCCCGTCTCTAGCTGGCCCCCTGGCCGTCGTGCCCGCTCCTAGCCGGCCCCCCTGCCCGTCGCGATCGCTCCTAGCCGGCCCCCTGGCCGTTCGCGCCTGCCTCTAGCCGGCCCCCTGGCCGTTCGTGCCCGTCCCTAGCCGGCCCCCTGGCCGTTCGCGCCCGTCCCTAGCCGGCCCCCTGGCCGTCGAGCCCCTCCTAGCCAGCGCCCTGGCCGTTTCGCACCCGCTCCTCGCAGGCCCCCTGGCCGTTTGCGCCCGCCTCTAGCCGTCGCGGCTGCTTCTAGCCGCCGTCACGGCCGCTTCCTGCCGTCCCTCGGCCGCCCCTAGTCGTCCCGGCAGCCCCTCGCCGTCGCAGCCGCCCCTAGCCGCCGCCGCTGCGGTCTCCAGCCGCCTCACGGTCGCTCCTGCCGTTGCGGCCGCCCCTCGCCGCCGTCACAGCTGTCCCTGGCCGCAGTCGCAGCTGTCCCAGGCCGCAGTCGCGGCTGTCCCTGGCCGCCGTCGCGGCTGTCCCTGGCCGCCGTCGCGGCTGCCCCTGGCTGCCGTCGCGGCTGTCCCTGGCCGCCGTTGCGGCTGTCCTTGGCCGCCGTCGCGGCCGTGTCTACTCGCCGCCCACCGGCCGGCCCCTGCATTCGCGCCGTCGCCGACCCGCCGCTGCCTCGGGTTCGGCCCGTTCTTCTCGATCAGCACCGCCCTCCGAACCCCCCCCGGTACCGTACTGCATCGCTTTGCACCGCACTGCACCGCTTTGTATCGCATTGCACCGCACTGCACCGCATTGCACCGCACTGTACCGCACTGCACCGCTTTGTACCGCACTGCACCGCATTGCACCGTACTGTACCGCACTGTACCGCACTGCACCGCACTGTCCTACTCTATACTGCCCTCTATTGTCACTCATGGCGGCGGTGCTTTGCTTTGATGCTGAGGGCCAGCCGATTGAGTTTGATGCGTGGCTTGCTGACCTCCGTCGCCATCTCACTGGTCAGCGGCAGGATGGCCACTCACTGTCTGTCCATCTTGATGATACCGTCCCCTGCCCTGACCCCCCGCTGCACTGTCTCCTGACCCCTCGTCCGCTGAGCGTGAGTCCGCTGCAGCCGCTGCCCTTGCTCGCTCTGTCTGGCTGTCCCGTAACGCTGTTGCACAGCTTGCTATTAGCAATGCCCTCCCCCTGTCCGAGCGACCTCGCATGAGGTCTATCACCACTGCCCAGGCTTTCCTAGATGCTGTTCTCCAGCGCTATTCCACCCCGCCTGCTGCCTCGGTCGGTCGTCTAATCCTCCCCATGCTCTTTCCTGACCTTGCGTCGTTCCCCACTGTTGCCGACCTGGCCGCTCACCTGCGCACCATAGACGAGACCTGGCGTGCTGCCTGCACCCCCACACAGCTTCTAGCCCACCAGCCGCCCCTCACCTCTACTCTCTACCTGCTCGCCCCCTGACCGTCTTGCCACTGCCCGTGACCGCTTTCTTAGCGTCCACCCCGCAGACCTTACCCTTGCTGACTTTGTTGACACCCTGTCTGCTATAGAGGCCCGCCACCGCTCTATCGCTCAGACCAGCGGTATTGTGCCGGACCCTATCTTTCAGGGTTGTGCCCCCGCTCAGTGCACCTTCTCCGACGGTTCTGCTGCTGTGGCTGAGACTGCCGCTGCCGCACAGGTTCGTCCGGGGAAGGGTCGCCACCCCAAGGCTGGACGTGGCGACGGGGGTGGGGGTGCGGGTGTAGGTGGTGCTGGAGTTGGGTCACCTAGTGGTGGTGCTGACGCGGGGACCCTGACAGGTGCAGCCGAGCAGCCGTCTCAGCAGTCGCCGGTGTTGCAGCCGGACCCGCGCCAGCCACAGCCGCCGCAGCTGCAGCCGTCGCCGCAGCCGCAGCAGTCGCAGCAGCAGCAGAGGCGGACGAGTCGTCATCCGCCTGGGTGGCCTGGCGCTGGTGGCAGCGCTGGACGTGGTGGTGGTGCACGTGGTGGGCTGCCGAGTGGTGGTTCGGGTGCCGCGCGCTGTCAGTACCTGCTTCAGACCGGTCCTCGCCGTGGCTTCGTTTGCGGTAAGATCGGTCATACCACCGTCCGCTGTTTCCATCGCCTGGACGACCTGTTTCGTCAGCGTTTCGGCCCGTCGCCCAAGCTCCCAGACTGGCACAGCTTGCCTAGTCGTAGGGTTCAGATTTTTGATCTGGACATGGATGAGATTGTTGCTGCTCTGCATGTGATGTATGCTGATGACTCTAGTGTGCTTCCGTCTTATTACCCCTTGTTGCCTAGTGTAGGTGTGCCTTCCTTAGACTCCCCTGCTGCGTCAGGCGTAGGATCCCCTGCATTGTTTAGCCTTGGTGCTTTCGTCGCTACTTTGCCTCCGGCCGCCACTGCCACGCTCTCCTTAACCCTCGACTCTGGCGCTTCCCGGTGCTTCTTCCGCGACTCCACCACGTTGACACCGCTTCCTGTCCCTGCCGCTGTCTCCCTGGCTGACCCCTTCTCTGGCCCTGTAGTCGCCCACAGTTCCACCACCCTCCCCTGCCCGGCGGTTCCTTCGGGCTCTCTTACAGGCCTGCACATCCCCTCGTTCTCCAGGAACCTAGTTGGTGTTGGCTGCCTCCAGGACCTTGGCGTCACCACTACGTTCCCTGGTCAAGAGCGGTACGCTGTCTGTACCAAGGACGCCTCTGGTGCCCCCCTTACCACATTCCCCCTGGACCCGGTGTCCGGACTGTTCACACTGGACACTGTGACCCCCCCGGCTGGGACCCCCCCTCAGGTGGCTGTGTCTACCCAGGTTGCTGCTGCCTGCTCCTGTCGGTCACTCACCCACCTGAATCTCTTGTGGCACCATCGTCTAGGTCACCCTGCGCTCCAGCGTCTACGTCACATGTCACAGCACGGTCTCGTCCTAGGCCTCCCTGGGTCGTTCTCTGATTTTCCCTCCTCCCCTGCCCCACCTTGCACGCCTTGTGTCGAGGGCCGGCTTCGCCGTGCTCCTCACTCCTCCTCGTTTCCCCCTACCGCCGCACCGCTACAGACCTTGCACATGGACGCCTAGGGCCCCGCCCCCGTCCATGGGCCGCGTCGAGAGCGCTACTTCCTAGTGCTTGTCGACGACTACAAGCGCTACACTACTGTGTTCCCCCTGGAGCGGAAGGCCGACGTGCCTGACGTTCTCATCCCGTGGCTTGTCGCTGCGCGTGTCCGTCGCGGTCTCCCTGTCTTGCGCCTCCACTCCGACCATGGTGGCCAGTTTGCCTCTGGTGTCCTTGGTCGTTTCTGTCGTGCGGAGGGCATCACCCAGACGTTCACCTTGCCGGACTCCCCGCAGCAGAATGGGGTCGCTGAGCGATGCATCGGTTTGGTCATGGAGGTGGCTCGCACCTCCATGATCCATGCCGGTGCATCCCATTTTCTGTGGCCGTTCGCGGTTCGTTACGCCGCTCACCAGCTTAACATGTGGCCGCACCCCCAGCAGCCTCAGGTTTCGCCGACCCTCCTTTGGTCTGGTTCACCTGGTAACGCGCCTGCGTTCCACGTCTGGGGCTGTCTTGCTCACGTTCGTGCCTTTGGCACGGACAAGCTCACAGCCCGCACCCTTCCCTGTGTCTTCCTCGGCTTCCCCCTTGACGCGTCTGACTGGCACTTCTACCACCCGCCATCTCACAGGTTCTTTCACTCCCGTGATGTCCCATTTGACGAGTCCGTCTCCTTTTTCCGCCGCTTCCCCCACCGAGGTCCCCCGGTTCCCCCCCCCCTGTTCCTGGTCACCCCTTCCCCGGTCGTCGCCGCCCCTCCTCCTCCCCCTCCCTGTCCTGCCCCCTCTGGTGTGTCCCACGTCACCCCACTTACGTCGGTTGTACCGGTTGAGGAGTCTACTGACTCTGGTAGTCCTGCGGCGCAGTCCTCGCCGCCTGCCCCTTCTCAGGTGTCTCCTCCTCCGCCGCCTCCACAGCCACAGTCGCCACCGCTCTCGCAGCCGTCGTCACCGCCGCCACCGTCGCCGCAGCCGTCGTTGCGACCGCCGCTGCCGCAGCCGTCGCCGCAGCAATTGGTTGCCTCTGGGGGTGCTGGAGTTGGGGTGGGTACTAGTCCTCGGACTCCTATCATGGCTTGTCCCGGCGAGCCTGGGGGTGGTACCGGTGCTCGAGGGGTTCTGAGCACTGGGGGTGTTTCTTCTGGGGGAGCTGGTGTGGAGTGTTCTGGAGGTAGCCACCCGGCAGCTTGCAGTCCCAGTGTCGGCGTCACACCGCCGTCACAGCATTCCC